CCCTCTCATTCTTTCTCCCATTACACCATTGAATGGAAAGAGATAGAAATGGCCGTCTGCCACTGTCCCTCTCTCTCTATCGACCATTTTGACACACGTATCGCGCAGTCTATTCTCTATAGCCCTGTTCTTTTTGACTGAACTTTTCCACCAGTTCATCTTTCTTCCTCTTCTTTCCTGCTGGAGAAAAAAGGAAAAAGATGAATTGGTGCCAAGGTTCAGCCAAAAAGAATACTTTGGTCCGCATCAACTTGATACGCGTACTAATCGATTTAACGGTGTAAAGGGGGTCAATAGCGTATTCGATTTACTGAGAGTGATGTCCCATGCAGCGGATCGTGCGTAAGCGGATTCACGTATCGCCAATCACAGAAACATTCTCTTAGATATGCTTGCGAAATTTGCAAACAGATCTAAGAGAATGATTCTGTGATTGCCGATACGTGAATCCGCTTACGCACGATCCGCTGCATGGAACATCACCTTGACTCGACCAGACTCCGAATCAACAGTCTGTTCTTTTTAGCTGCATTTCGTGTATAATTTAACTCTTCTTTTGCAGCTAAACAGAACAGACCATTGACTCGGAGTCGGGTCGAGTCAGTAAATCGAATACGCTATGAGTTAAGTTATATTGGGTATGGGAATAAGTTTCCGCCCATTGTAGAAATTGTTATGTCCACTCAGCGTTACGTTCGTTGGAAACTTAGCCATACATTTTTCTTTCCAAATAAGCACTCTGATTGGTACTCTGAGACACGACGTAACGTCGCTTCCATATGAAGCGACCTCGGGTTATTGCGCGGAGAATTCGCCTTAAGGCGGCGCCGCTCTTCCCGTTGCGCAAGAGCATACAGAGTGGGGGCATGGGACGCCTAATCCTTTGGGACTATGGTCTCCCACGCTCTCTCTGTTTCTGGACTCGAGTATGTAAAGACCTAAGTATGTTGACGGCTCCCGCTGAGCCATTCATTTTTCTAAGATTCATAATCCGACTTATCCCTCAACATTTCCTTTAAATTTTCCTCTCAGGGTCCCATTAACGCCCTGTATACTTCGTGCAAGCATCCTGCATGTACTAATCCTTATATTTTCTTTGTGTTTAGCGTATTGTATTAGCGTATTATATTAATCATATTCGTGTTTAAAGGCCCGTCTACAATACACGGAGTAAGAAGTAAGAGTAAGAAATTGACCAATCACAGTCGAATGTGAGAAGAATAATCGACTGTGATCGATCAATTTCTTACTCTTACTTCTTACTCCGTGTATTGTAGACGGGCCTTAAGGCATCGACATCTAGAATGGACCGCTGATGGCAATGGTGGGGGTAGAAAGACGATTAGAGTGAGGCAGGAATAATAAGATCGTTCTTTCTCTGTTTACTGAAGTCTGATTGTTGTTAATCCAACAACCAATCAGGCTAGTTAGAAACAACAGTAAACAGAGAAAGAACGATCTTATTATTCCTGCCTCTCACTCTAATCGTCTTTCTACCCCCACCATTGCCATCAGCGGTCCATTCTAGAAGTTTGTTCGCGTCGCTCCAATATGCTCCTGTTCATTCCAATGTGCTCCATTACGTTCGCGTCACCGGAACCAATATGGCGATTAGATGTTTGCGTCACATTAGAGCATACTCCATGGATCAATTAAGAGCATGCTCTATTTGCTTCACCTCAGAAGGTGGTGCGGTTGGGACATGTTACGCACGCATGCGTAATGATTGAGAATGTGTAGTGTTGAGAGAAGTATTTCATGGTTCTTACAGATATCTTAACCTATGTTCTGTAGTCAACTTTAACGAGAGTGGCGCTCAATTTAAGGTAAAGGTGCAATCTACGATGTTCACCTCAAAAATCGATAAAATTATACTCATTCGACGTGTTTTTGCATGAAACGAAAGAATCTGGTAGGTAAAAGTGTCGCTCTGCCCCGCGAACCGAGATATTAAGCGTTAAAGTTGTCGACTATGGAGGTTAGAAAATCTGTCATACCGACGTTACGTAGCAACTGAAACATGCTCTGTGGTCACATGCGCATGCGTTGTACGTACTTTTCGGTAAGAGCGCACGAAATTTAAAGTCATAATCCATTAAATTAATAACCATTAATAACCCATGTGGACAGTGGGGTGTATAGACAGTAATGCTTGGGTTCGGGCGGCTACGCCGCCCGAACGAAATTTAAATATAACATCACAACCGCTTGGGGCCTAACCGCCTAGAAGTTACAGCTGAGACAGTGTCTGCTTGGAATATTTCTAACCCATGATGACAGTGGGGTGTGAGAACAGTCTTTTTAACTAGACAGTAAAAAGACCGCATTCTTCATGGGTTAGAAATATTACAAGCAGACACTGTCTCAGCTGTAACTTCTAGGCGGTTAGGCCCCAAGCGGTTGTGATGTTATATTTAAATTTCGTTCGGGCGGCGTAGCCGCCCGAACCCAAGCATTAGGGCCTGAGCACAATAGAGGAACAGGAATTAGATATTAAGATTTTAACTTATCAGAAACTGATTACATCGGAATACACGGTTTCTGATAGGTTGAAATCTTAATATCTAATTCTTGTTCCTCTATTGTGCGCAGGCCCTTACTGTGGCCATACAGTAATGCCACGCATGCGCGTGTGGCCATACAGTATGAAAATGTGACCGCAGCGCATGCTCATATCGCAGTGTTGCGTGACCATGACGGATTTTCTAACCTGAATAATCATGAACTTTAACGCTTAATATCTCGGTTCGCGGGGCAGAGCGACACTTTTACCTGCCAGATTCTTTCGTTTCATGCAAAAACGCGTCGAATGAGTATAATTTTATCGATTTTTGAGGTGAACACCGTAGATTGCACCTTTACCCAATTTAATGATTAATCTCGGTCCATGAGGCAGAGCAACGCTTTTTTTCTGGAGGACGTTTGTCCCAACTTCTCCTAAATCCGTTCGTGTCACCGAGCGTTGGGGCACATGAATCCAACTGCTCCAACCGCCATCCTACCGGTGATCCAAGTGCTCTCTGGGTTAATTTGGAGTAAGCGACGCGAACAAACCTTAGATGTCGATGGTTTAAGGTAATTCTTAACCACGTGTTACCCAACTCGCATCTCTCCAAATTTAATATCTCGGATTTCAACCGAACATTTTCGCGACTTGTAATAATTTTATAGAAATAATCGTGCTAATCTATTGTGCAACCCATCGTTGGTTAATAAACATATGTAATACGTGTTATTGAAATCCAGAAGAGTTATTTCGCGCTTCCTTCCCCCCTTGCTACTCCCAACATCCTCTGTCCCTTATTCCAATTACCGGGAGTGAATAAAACGCAAGATAACCGCCAAGCTGCCGCACGAGAGGAAGACTGAGTTCCACCCACTGCCGAAGACCCCAGTGATTGCTGCATTGCATTGCCATTCGCGCCTCCCTACGCAGATGTTACGTCCGCTCAACATTGGAATTCATTGAAAATCTGGCCATATATTTTTCTTTCTTCTGATTGGTACTCCGAGACTCGACGTAACGCCGCTTCCACATGTAGTGATCTCGGGTCATCACGCAGAGAATTCGCCTTAAGGTGGCGCCGCTCTTCCCGTTGCGCAAGAGCAAGCAGAGTGGGGGTGTGGGAGCTTAATCCTTTGGGACCTTGGTATCCCACGCTCTCTCTGCTCCCGAACTCAAGTGCGAAAGGACCTAGGTGTTGACGGCTCCCGCTGAGCCATTCACGTTTTTAAATTCAAGACTGGTAATCCGACTCAATCCCTCTGCATCCACATCAAAATCCTCTCATCGAGTCTTTTAAACACCTTTGTAATTCTCGCGCGAATATTTAATATACTCTAAAGCGTATATCTTTACTTTAACTTTTACATGACTACTATATTTTCCTATATAGGATTTCACGTAATTATTACTTTGCATTTAGCTCTTAAATAATCATTGTATTTTTATACTAGACCTTGCGTAATTACTATATTAGCTCTTAAATAATCTTTGTATTTTTATATCTTTTGCGTAACCATTATACTCTCGTATTAACTAATAAAGTGCAAGTAAGCACGTGCCACAACTTCTAGAGAATCATTTTATGCTTCCTCCACTACTTCCAATATTTCCGTCCTTTATCTTTATTACCGGGAGTGAATAACACGTGAAGAAACCACAAGCTGCTGCACGAGAGGAGGACCAGATTCCACCCACTACCGAGGACTCCAGTGATCGCCGCATTACCATTTGCGCCTCCTTGCGCAGGTAAGAGATTTGTGATTCCACGTGGCTGTCTCAGTGTGGCGCCATTCTCGTTACCGCGGCGTCACTCCATCGCGTTACCACGTGGCGCGTCATC